GTGTACTGCGGAAAAAAGGCACTGCAGTCAGTATTACTACCTTAGGGAAGGGTGGAGCATAAGAATCAATGACGTAGCTCAATGGCTGCAGGACAGACAGAGTGCCAACAAGGGCATCTAACCAATGGTATTAAGATAACCTTTCTGGCCTGGCGCGGTGGCTCACACCTGTAATCCTAGCACTCTGGGAGGCTAAGGCGGCGGATCGCTCAAGGTCAGGAGTTCGAAACCAGCCTGAGCAAGAGAGAGACCCCGTCTCTACTATAAATAGAAAGAAATTAATTGGCCAACTAATATATATATATATATATATATATATAGAAAAAATTAGCCAGGCATGGTGGCGTGTGCCTGTAGTTCCAGCTGCTCAGGAGGCTGAGGTAGGAGGATTGCTTGAGCCCAGGAGTCTGAGGTTGCTGTGAGCTAGACTGACGCCATGGCACTCACTCTAGCCTGGGCAACAAAGTGAGATTCTGTCTCAAAAACAAAACAAAAAACAAAAAAAGATAACTTTCTGCCCTGATGTTATCTCACCACACTGCCCCAGAAACTGAAATGCTACTAAGCAGTAATTCATTCAAATTCATAACTCTCTGTTAATATGCACTACCCTTAAAGAACATTAGGGGGGTAAGAATTGTCTTTCATCCCTCAGAATGAATTACATTAATCAGTTTCTCCCTTACCCTTTACCTTTCTTTCCAACATCTAACCAAGATAAATGTAAAATACAAGTAATGGGGGAACAGGTCTGAGTAAAGTTCTCTAGGCAGCCAGAAAGCAGTCTGAGAATTTGGTGGGGAAGCAAGGAAGGAAAAGAAAATCCACTCTATCCCTGTTCTGCCCACCTATCCCACAATCTCTACATGGAACCCATGGCTAGCTGCTTTCATCTCCAACCACATCTCTATGCATAAAAACAATCTGAATTTCTATGAATCTCCTGAGTGTCTACCAGTGCCAAAAGAGGTGCCATGTGGGGACACACAGAGGCAGAACAAAACGTGAGTGCACTCTAGCAACAACATCATGGCAAAGAAGGGAGAAAAATTAAGGAGGTTTTGTGATGATCTAGCAGCTACCATAAAGAAGCACCTATTATACTTTGAAATAAGTCTCCCAAAATGCAGCTTCTGGTGTCTTTTGGCAATGTATTCCCACTGTACAAGCTAAACCCTTTCTAAGAGACAGCAAGCTCCACTGTTCTCTCCCTATTTGGTTTCCCACATCCTTCTCAACACTCTTTTCACTATACCTCCTCTTTCAAATGCTCATTTATTCTAAGCTCCACATTAGGCAGGTTGAAAATGTCAAGGTCCATCGTCCCTCCTTTAGTTCCTTCTGAAAGGTCTAAGAGGACCAGCCTGTCCGCTATTCCCTGTACAGTACAATAAGAAAAAGAATAGCATTACACTGGGCATAGCCAGTTACTCAATTTAAATTCATTCGAAAATGAGGGCTAAAGGAGAATACACAGGCCTCATGTGCTGTCTTAAGAAAGAAAAATAACACCACAGAAATAAAAGTAACATGCAAGCAAGAAGTTATTATGAACTTGAATAATGTGATCCTTTAGCCCTGACTACTGAAAACTGAGATCTAATAGCGCTTAACTCAGAAGTCAGATTGCAGGTTTCTACTGATAGGATGACTAACAAAGATGGCTTGGTGCACTAAGTTTACTAGTGCTGTTAAGTTCATGTTTCCATTTTGATGTCATAATTTTATTCTGAAAGAGTTTAGAGTGATCTTTTGGTCTATCTTAGCACCTTATTTCTAGCATGAAAGTCAAAACTAATGCCAACTTTTCTTTAAAAAGAAAAAAGGATATTATTAGAGCTATAAATCTAAACACAGACCCTATTATCATGTGAGACCCTCCCCAGAGATTTCATGAAAAATATTCTAAATTTCTACAAATGGCTCCCTGGGTGGCATGATGGGCTGACTATAAACAATATTAATAGCATGGAAACTCCTAAGAGTCAGTTTTCCTTTGTGGAAGGTCTTTATCCAAAGTAGAAGATCTGAAGATCTCTCTTAGGATGTAGGGGCAAAAGTACCCAAGGATATATTAGATTATTGGGCAGAAACAGTTAAGAAAACAACATGGCTATACTACTTATTAGCTATGTAACACTGGGAAAGTCACTGAATTCAGCCTTATTTCATGTGGTTGGGAGGACTAATTATGTGACACAGGGCTGGCATACAGTAGTCCTCTCTAAATCATAGCTATTAATTTTACTATTGTTAACCACATTTATAAGGAAAATGCAAAGAAAACTATGAGTTATCATTTTCATTTATAAATTACAAAGATCCAAGAGTTTAATAGTAGTTGTGGGAAAACAGGTATTCTCATATGATATGGGTGTGAAAATAAACTGGCATAATTGATATAAGGCATAATTGGTAATTTCTATCAAAATTTTAAAATATTAAATTTAAATTTAATAATTCCTTTAATCCAGTCTCATTCATAGAAATTATCCTACATGTTTATTAGTACATGGGTAAATTGATACAATATGTATAAGGATATTCATTAAAAATATTCAAAAGACTAGAAATGCCAAAATGTTTATCAATAATAATAATTAGTATAATATAGTGGTTTAGAGTAGAGCTTTTCAAGCTTTAATGGATCACCACTTAATGGATTAGTAAAGTGTATGGACCACCAGGATTTTATTAAAATCCATATTTTGCTTCAGTAGGTGTGGGCTGAGACCTGGAATTATGCATTGCTAACAAGATCTCAGGTGATGCCAATGATGCTGATCTGAAAGCCACAGTTTGAGTAGCAAGGATCTATAATACAGGCTCTGGTAAAAAGATTACCTGTCTTCAAATCGTGGCTCCACCATTTATTAACAATGTGACTTTAGGCAAGTTGGGCAAGTTCCCTATGCCTTGCTTCCTTCATTTGCAAAATGGTGATAATAATAGTACCTAAGCAACAGGGTTGTAAAAATGAGTAAAGTATTTAGACAAAGGGCCCAGCACCTGCCAAGCATTCAGTAAAGGTTAGTTATTGCTGCTACTATCACCACCACTACTACTGCCACTATTATGACAGTTATTATTGTTGCATTATTTGAATACTGTACCTTTTATTAAAATATTAATGTTTAAAACAAAAAACGGAAAAAATTTTCCACCCAGACAGTTCACAAATAGTGACAGTGAGACTCTTCTAACAGTTAACGAACATGATTTTAAGGTGCCTTCTCGTGCTTACCAAAAATTGACAAATAATTACAAATAAAATTAATAAAACTCAGTACTGCTAGGGATGTCAAAAATCAGGTTGATGTGCATGTTATTATTAGTAGCATAAATGAGTTCTGCTTTTCTAAAGAGCAATCTAGCAATATGTAATAAGTATCATAAAAACTTTTCATGCCCTCTGACTCACTAGTACTATTTTTGAGATTATGGACACCTCCCCAAAAAACTTCAGATAAGAAAATAAGCAACTTATAAAGTACTATTATACTAGCATTTTATTTAGTAACAAAGGAACCGAAAACAACTCAAATTCCAATTAAGAGGTAATAGTGTATTCAGATGGAGGGTGGAGAAAATGAAATTATATTATGCCAAAAGTTAGCATATAAGGTTCTAAGCAGACAACTTTAAAAATCTTCTAACTCCCTGGATATAATTTAATTATCTGCTAACGTAGAACCTACCTCTAAAATATATGTGAGTCTTAAATGGGAAAGGAAGAATTTGAATGGCAAAACAATCAAATTTAAATAGAAAAGAAAAACTAATACCAGCCACCAAATAAACTTACAGAGGGACAGCTATTCTATTCTGGGTTACATTTCTCAAGCAATATAAGACATGCTGTTATTATGATACTGTGCCATGGAGGGAGGTGGGCAGGTCTTTTGAACCTCTCTTAAAGGAGATTTAAGCCTTTCTGTAAGCAATTTATATAGAGATCTAGTAAAAACGACAAAAAAAATCCTAAACTAGTATAAAATATCAACTCAGAAATTATGATCCTAAAAGAAAGTAATTATACAAGAAAAGTCATCCCTAAAATAGAAGGCTAATTTTAAAATGAGCTAAAATTAAGTATTATATTAAATAAGAGTTTAATTAAAGTGGCATGACTCAGAAAACATAAAGGAATTCATTTGCGACTAAGTCAGATGAATGTGAAGTTGAGGTTTCCCTTGGATTAGGATGAGCCCATTGTTCAAATCACTTTTTCAAAGATTATTCCATGACTAACTACTAATTAAGAGGCAACATCACTGATGAGAGTTTTCAGCTATGTTTCTGTCAACTTGCTAAATATGTTTTGAGGCAAAATGAGGTTTTCCTTAAATGACAAAATGAAGCCATTATTTTTTATATGTTAAACACAAACTGCCTAAAAATGTAGCACTATGATAGATGTATTTATAACTACTATGCTTACATACCTTTGCTGAAATTGCTAATGTGCAGGCAATACCCAACTCTCCACCTCCAACCACAGTAATTTTATTGATTGTTTTATTTTCATGATTTGCCAAGCTCTTTCTGAACTTATATGTCTGACATAGAAAGTGAGTTATCCTGAGAACTAAAAAGTCTCCGAAACTCCTTTTAGCATCTTTTAAAAATAATCACGCTTCAATAGTCAGACTCAGAAAACATCGGTGCTGGCCTTCCATAATGCAGCCTCAAATGTTATTTATAAAATTGCAAGCAAAACAGGAGTCGTATTAAATACCCCAGACTATTAACTGCTTTACTAAATACGAAGTTTTCTTTTTAAAAAAAGTATGTTACCCAAACATTTAAAAGTATAACAGTCTAAACGTACGTGATTCTCCATATATTTGAAAACATTCTGACTTTTATTCCTGTGGTCTACAATACAAAAAAGTCAACCATCTCATTGAATTTGCAGCGTGAGTATTTGGCTTATCTCAATGCAGCACGCGATAAGAAATCATGAGATCTCTGGGCCATACATACTCCGAAACTGCAAAAGCTAACTAAACATCATATAAAAGTGATGGATGTCATCAACACATATCAAGTGGTTTGGAAACAGTGTTCTATTGTCAGTATAATTTACATTTTATATAGAAACCACTATTTTTTTTTTATTTTTTTTGAGAAGAGTGCTCGTCTGTTCCCAGGCTAGAGTGAGTTCATGGCATCAGCCTACTTCCACAGCACCCAAACTCCTGCTCAAGCAATCCTCCTGCCTCAGCCTCCCAAGTAAGGCTGGGATACAGGCATCCGCGCCACATGCGCTATTTTTGTATCTATCATTGTTCTTAGTCTGGCCATTAAATTTCTTTCTATTTATAGTCAGAGAGGTTCAATTTGCTAGGCTGGTTTCGACAGTCTGACCTTCGGGAGCAAACGTCGCCGCCTCGGTTTACAGAGTGTAGATTACCGGCGTGACCACCGCCCCGGGCCAAGAAACACATTTAATGGAATATACCATGGTAATACCTTATGATAAACGTAAAGGAACTTTTTCTAAAATAAAATATAACACACGCCCACACCCTTCTTTTTTTTTTTTTCTGCAGAAGGTTCATGTTGACTGGGGCTAGGAGTGTATGGCATCAATACCGCTCACAGCACCTCAACTCCTGGTCAGAGAATAATCACATAGCCTCCAGCTCCCAACGTAGCTGGACTTCACATGCATGTGCCCATGCTCGCCTAAATTTTTCCTATTTTGTTTTTGGCTAATTTTCTTTCTATTTATAGGTAGACGATGGTCTTGCTCTTACTCACTGTGGTCTCGACTCCTGATCAACGCAATCTCCTAGCTCGCTTCCACGAGTGCTAGGATTACAGCATGGCCACTCGCGGCCCTTTTTTTTCCTGAGAAATTCTGTTGCCCGGGCTAGATGCCGTGGAACCGCTTGGCGCTCAGTAATCTTCTGCCCCCTGTCTCAGCCCCTGCCGAGTTCGGCTCAAGGGCCAAACTGGCCCCCCCCCCGCCCCCCAACGATGCCGCTAATTTTTTTCTATATTCTAGTTGTCCAGCTCTCTTCTCATTCTATTTTTCTTTAGTAAGACTGGTCTCATGCTCTTGCTCAGGCTGGCTAGATCCTCGAGCTCGAAACTCGCCCTGTCTCGCCTCCTAGCAATCTAGGAATACAGGCATGCGCCACCCGCATCACCTGGCCTACCACATTACTTTTGTTGTCTGAGACAGGGTCCCCCCTTGCTTCCAAGCTGGCTGCAATGTCACCAATGTACGTAGTCACTGCAATCCAACCCTCTCTGGGCTCAACAGCCAATTTCCTGCCTTTCGCTCCCGTGCTCGCTACAGACATCGGGTCAACCATGCTTGGCTACTTTTCTTACCAATTATTCACTTTTGTCAGAGATGGAGCTCTTGCTATGTTGCCCAGGCCAGTCTTGAAACCTTTGGCTCCATGATCCTCCTGCCCAGCTCCAAAGTGCTGGACTTACCGGCATGAACCCTGTACGCTGGCAACCACACAATTTATATAATCAACGAGATAAGGATTTTAGTGAGAAATGCCTATGCTATTAACGCACCACAGGAAACTGAATGACAAATACAAACCTTCCACGCTGATTTTTGCATATCACCCGGGCTATCAAGCTCTAACCTCCCAGTGGCCTCCATCAGATGATGACAAGAGAACATGAGAAGTTCCTCTTTGAAACTTGTCATTCCTTTAATGTAACTCCACCATGCCCCGATTATAGCCGCTGCCAGCAATACAGCACCAAGGAAGATTACGCAAATATTTTGCCACAGCAGAATTCGACCCTCTGTCCTTCTATACACCGCTCCGCTTATAACCAGTTAGCAAAAGGAATATTTGATCTCATGTTTCATTGTTTTGAAACCCCTCAACATTATGGATACTTTAAACTGTTTTAATACTTTTAACTGCAAATAAAGGGGGGAATCTATCACATACTCTCAACCAAGTAGGACAGCATGAACCGTCACGTAACAGCAGAAATCATTCAGGTTTGGGAACTATCTCCTTTTTTTAAAAAAACTATTTATTTATTTATTTGTTTGTTTTGAGACAGAGTCTTAACTGTTTGCCGGCTCACGAGTGCGTGGCTCACCTACGCCTACCAGCAACTCAACTCTGAGCTCAGCGAGTCTCTGCTCAGGCCTCTGGAGTATGGACAGGATCGCGGCGACCTCATGCCCGGCTAATTTTGTTCTATATATTTTTAGTTGGCCAATTAATTTCTTTCTATTTTTAGTAGAGACGGGGTCTCGCTCTTGCTCAGCCTGGTTTCAAACTCCTGACCTTGAGAGATCTGCCCGCCTCAGCCTCTTAGAGTACTAGGATTACAAGTGTGAGCCACCGTACCGGCCTACACCTTTTATTTTGAAATAATTTCAGACTTATAGAAAAGTTGCAAAAATAGTACATATACCTTTACCCAGATTACTCAAATGTTAACATTTTATAACATTTGCTTTTTTAGTTTCTTTCTCTCTATATATAGCTTTTCTGAAATGATTGAGAATAAACTATAGACATGATAGCCTACTATCCCTAAATACTTTAATGTATATTTCCTAAAAGAAAAAAAAAGACATTCTCCTACACAGCTATTAATATTAAATAGATTAGAAAATTAGAAATTAGAAAATTAGAAAATTAGAAATTAGAAAATTAGCACTGATAAAATATTATCTAATCTAGTACTGCTTTCTTTTAATTTAACTGGTTAAGCAACCTTGGTGAAATTCACTTAACCTTTCTGAGCTTCAGTGTCATCAGTAATACAATGTGAATAATCCCAAATGGCTGGTATGTGAAACAAATGAGCTAATGCATGCAAAGTGAAGCTGAGTGTAAAATAGATTTTTATTATTAGGAATATTTAGTAGAATGCTCATTTAAAAAGTACTTAATTTCTCAGAGTCTGGGTTTCATTATTTATAGATTAAGAAGATGAGGCCTTTAGAGTCAAAACCTCAAATACCTTGAGGAACCAAGCAGATAACATTAAATGCGTGAAGCTTCTAAGTATAAGAAAATCTGGAAAGATGATTATTGTGGCAAATTAGAAAGAGCATGCCTATAAGGCATTCAAATTCATATTAAAACCAAAATAAAACAAGGTAAAACAAAACCTCTGTGCTACTCAAAAAAATTCCGTAGGCCTAATACAGCCCTCGGAACCTCTTGAGGAAACTGCGATCTCTGGCCTCAATGACCTCTAGATTCCTTCTGGCTCCAAAATTCCATATAATTGTACCACAAAATTATAATTCCAACTGCATGTGGAACTTAAAGGTACTATAGTACTTTTAAATAGGGCAATTTAAATAATGTAGTGTCTTTTTAGAACTAGTTTTAGCTTTTAATAAAGAGGCTCAGAATAAGAAAATGAAATATCGTCCAAACTGAAATCAAGCACAACCTCAACTAAATTATAAGACTATCTCTGAGAATGTATTAAACAAACAAACAAAATTATCAAAGAAGATGCCAATGAAAACCAGAGAAAAGAAACAGGATACATGAATTCCTGTAACAGGGCACAGATGTCAAAATACTGCTTGAGGATAAAGGAAAAAAAAGTAACAATGGCTGACGGAGATAAACAGACAATTCAAAAAGGAAGAAACATACATGATTGATAAATATATGAAAAAGATTTCAATTTCTCAATCAAACTGAAAATTAAGAGTAAGATACCATTTTTGTCCTTTCAATTGACAAATTTTTATTATGTCCCTTTATTACATTTAACTGGCAATCTTATTTAAATGATCAAGTAATGAAAATAATGTACAAGTTAATAAAGTAAAAATTCAACTCCCACTACTGACAATTTGGTGTGTGTCTTTTCTTATTTCTTTTTTTCTTTTTTTTAACAGTTTTATATATGAAAAATATAGAAAATCAAATATAGAAAAGCAAAGCAAAATGTACTCATAATTACACACCTTTTTATGGGATTCTATAAAATAAGAAGTGATAATCCTAATTGCATCCTTTATTCCAAACTCACTCAACTCTGATATATCTGTGTCATTTAGTCTTATAACCTTCTGGGCACATATAAACATATTATAAATTATTATTTTATAAAGTTTTTAATTAGTTATAAAAATGAGAGCATACTGTATACCTATATAAGTCAATGTATAAGCAAAGTGTGTAAGCTAAGGTTTGTTTTGTTTTAATGATACTATATTCTACTAGAGCAAGAGTATTGTAAAATAGGTACCCTGCAACACTGATTTCTTTTCTTTTTCTTTTTTTGAGACATAGTCTCACTCTGTTACTAGGGCTAGTATGCTGTGGCATCAGCCTAGCTCACAGCCACCTCAAACTCCTGGGCTCAAGGGATCCTCTTGCCTCAGCCTCCCAAGTAGCTGGGACTATAGGCATGCACCACCATACCCAGCTAATTTTTTCTATTTTTTTTAGTCGCCCAGCTACTTTTTCTATTTTTTTTTTAGTCACCCAGCTAATTTTTTCTATTTTTAGTATAGATGGGAGTCTCACTCTTGCTCAGGCTGGACTTGAACTCCCGAACTCAAGCGATCCTCCCACCTCAGCCTCCCAGAGTGCTAGGAGTGATTTCTATTCATGGTAGAAATACACCAGTTTGTCTACCTTTTTAGAGGCCAATTTGCAATATATAAGAAAACTTTTAAAATTCTAAAAATCTTTGATCTAATAATTCTATTTCCAGAGATTTATTATTAGGATATTGTTAAAGATACATAAGATATACACAAACATTTACATTTAAAGATGTTCATCATTAAAGTTTTTACAATAGTGCGATTTGTAAATACATTATGTAATATTATTAGGCTGGATCATCAGGCAACCATTAAAAACTACATATTTTGAAAACAGTTTAATATGGAGAAATGCTAAATATAATAGTAAATGAAAAATGTAGGATATAAAATTGTATAACGTGAGGACTCATAAAACAAACTATAGTTATATATGTCAATGTGGATGAATTTTAAAAACTTAATGTCAGTTAAAATAAAGCATGTCACAGAAAATTACATACAGTATGATTCAACTTATATAAAGGCCAAAAACAGGCAAAACTACTATATATATATATACACACACACACACACACATACACACTATTTTAGTATTTTTATATATATGTGTGTATATATATAAAAATGAAACAAAAGAATCTTTAATAGGGAGGGACTATGAAATAAGGCCTTATCTCTTGTTAATGGCTTTTCACGTACTTTCTCAAGCACCAAGTGACTATAAAAAGAGAGAGAGGAAACAACAGTTGGCTCCTAAATCTGGAAAAAGCAGCTTTGTATAGGCTGTTGTCATTAGGGTTGTGGAACTTGGGTGACTCTAGAGAGTGGAATTTCAAATTATTTTCAAAAACCATGTGATAAGTATCATTGAAAGAAAATGCAGTATTATACTTATTTGTACCATCAGAATCAAAGATAAATATTCAGAAAAATACAGTAAAACATTTTTGAAGAAAATTGAAATTGGTCTTACATGGCTCCAGTTTTGGAGATAGGGCAAGTATATTCTGCCTTGAGCATCCACATGTTTTCCAACTGAGATTCCCATATTTGCAGTTGGCTTCAAGAAGCAAATGGGGGGAGCAAAAGGGTGAGAATCCAAAATCCAGAAACGAATTGGTAAGTTATATGTATTACCTATGTGAGACAAAATAAACACATCTTCAAACAATAATGAAGGATATAAATTGTATTTATGATATGGCTTGGTGGCATTTTAAGAAACATGTAGTCTAGTCAAGTTTATATATGAAGGACTGATGTAAAACAAAGCCTATTTCCCCCATTTCATCCACATTCATATTGGAAATATGTTCCTATTAGAGCACCAGTATAACACTTGAGTAAGCTTAATTAAGACAATTACTAACTTATCCAATTCAATTCAGTAAATATTTATGGAGTCTACTGTGCCAGAAGTTTGGGACACAGCATCTTCTCTATGTAGTTTTTTTTTGTCCTACACAAGCACTGTACCTTCCTTGAAAGGTAGTTGATACCTACATTTTTTAAATTACTCTATACTAAAGTTGTGTTCTTACAGATCTGTTTTCCTTTTAACACTGTAAACTTCTAGATAGGATTATCTTTTTTTTTTTTTTTTTTTTTTTTTGAGACGAGCCTCACTTTGTTGCCCAGCTAGAATGAGTGCCGTGGCGTCAGCCTGGTCACAGCAACCTCAATCTCCGGGGCTCAGCGATCCTACTGCCTCAGCTCCCGAGTAGCTGGGACTACGCATGCGCCACATGCCCGGATAATTTTTTTTATATAATTTTAGGTGGTCAATTAATTTATTTCTATTTTTTGTAGAGAAGGTCTCGCTCAGGCTGGTTTCGAACTCCTGACTTGGCAATCGCCCGCCTCAGCTCCAAGTGTAGGATTCAAGGCGTGAGCCACCACGCCCTCGTCTTTATTCATTTCTATATCCCCAGCATCAAGTATAGTTCCTAACATACTAGGTGCTTAATAAAAGTTTCTTATATAAATAAGAATGAGCAAACAAATGAAAAATGAGAGAATGAACCAAACTGAGTTTTATACCTGCCCTGAAGGTCAATAATTATAGATATTGTAACACACAAAACTTGAGTTAGAGACATTGAACTTGAGCTGAAAATAACATTAACAATCACTTGTCCAGTGATCTTCAAATTTTAGTGTATATCAGAATTACTGAAAACTAACCTAACACATGCCAATCCTGAGACTCACTCCAGAGATTGAGATTTAGTAGATGTGGGATGGGCCAAAACCTGAATTTTCAACATCTTAACACTACACCCACACCTATACACTCGAAGATTTTGATGCAATGATTTATATTTTTTGTTTTATTTATTTTTGAGACAGAGTTCACTCTGTTGCCAGGCTAGAGTGCCGTGGTGTCAGCCTACCTCACAGCAACTCAAACTCCTGTCAAGTGATCTTCTGCCTCAGCTCCAAGTAGCTGGGACTACAGGCATGTGCCACATGCCTGGCTAATTTTTATATATTTTTGTTGCAATATAATTCTTTCTTATTTTTAGTTAGAGAACAGGGTCAGCTCTGGGTCAGGCTGATAGAACTTCCTTGACCAGGTGATCTACTCGCCTCAGCTTTCAGGTGCTAGGGATACAGGTTGTGACACCACCACTATGGTATTCTTTAAACACTGAAGAAAATCACTTTTTGGAAGCACTTCTTCATCTTTATTAGAAGAGGGAAGTAAGGCTCTGTAGCAATGATAGCTTTAGGTAAAAAAAAAACTATCATACTTAAGAACAGAGCTAAGATAGGAACTTGAGCGTATGCTCCTCCAATTTTAACCATATATGTCATGCCCTACAGAAGAAATCTTTTGATGCTTGGATGCCAGGAACCAAGCTTGAAACCTAATATAAGTGTGCTTGGTTTGCAGAAGCCAAGCTAGAACCTAATATAAGCCAGCATGAGTGGGCTCACACCTTGTAAATCCTAGCACTCGTGGAGCAAAGGCAGGAGGATTGTCTCAGAGTTCCAGGCCAGCCTGAGCAGAGTTGAGATCCGTGTCTGTACTATATCAATAGAAGAATTAGCAACACTTAAAAATAGAAAAATTAGCGGCGATGCAGTACATGGCCTCGAGTCCCATACTGGAGTGAGGCAGGAGGACTTGAACCAGGATATTGACTGATGTGAGCGAGGCTGCGCACAGCACTCTAACCCAGGCAAGGAAGTGGCTTTGTTCAAAAAAAATTATTATAAGTAATTATATGATAAGAAGTTATTAAGTTAGATGTAAATTAATTCTAGATAGGGGTATGACCTTAGATGATGCAGTATCTCTAAAGACTAGGTTACAAGAAAATTTCATCATGGCTTTAATGTAAGCTGGATAGGTAGAAACAACTCACATAAGTTGTGCAAGTCTTCATAAAGAAATGTTCAGGAATTTACCGGGAAATAGATCTTGGGTGGGAGGTTAAGTACAGCTTAATTCATGCCTGTCCAACTATTTAAATTTATCGAGCGATGGGAAGCTATCATTATACTAATAAAACTAGTTAATTAAAGAATAATAAAGCAGAAGTATGCCAATTTACTGAGGATTACTATGTGCCAGGACTATGCAAGAGTTTACTAGTGTAATTAGCATTATACTCACAACCTTGGGAAGCTTCCTTTACCTTGGCCATTTTTAGCATTATGAGAACAGTAATACATTCTGCCTTTCTGATCAGCAGGATTAATAGTGTTCGTTCACAATGAGCTGATATATTCTAGTGAAAGCAAGGAAAAAGTGTAAATGCGGAAAGGCACTGCAGTCGTATTGGGTACTGTATGGAAGGGTGGAGCATAGATCCACACTGAACGTGTAGCTCAATGGCTGCAGAAACAGAGTGGCCAACAGGCTCTAACCAATGTATTGATAACCTTTCTGGCCTGCGTGGTGGCTCCACCTGTATCCTAGCACTATGGGGAGCTAAGGGCGGGTCGCTTCAAGGTCAGGGTTCGAACCATGGTAGCAAGAGAGACCCGTCTGGTGATAGACGAATAGAAAGGAATAATTGCAACTAAATATTCTATTAGTACTATATAGAAAAAATTGGCCAGGCATGTTGTGCGGTGCGTTGCCTGTAGTTCCAGCTGCTAGGAGGCTAGACGAGAGTTGGCTTGAACAGGAGTTGATTGCTGTCTAGACTGACGCATGGCAGCTGCACTCTAGCCTGGGCAACAAAGTGAGATTCTGTCTCAAAAACAAAAACAAAAAAACAAAAAAAGATAACCTTTCTGCCCTGATGTTATCTCACCACACTGCCCCAGAAACTGAAATGCTACTAAGCAGTAATTCATTCAAATTCATAAGCTCCTCTGTTAATATGCACTACCCTTGAAATCATTAGGGGGGGTAAGAATTGTCTTTCATCCCTCAGAATGAATTACATTAATCAGTTTCCTTCCCTTACCCTTTACCTTTCTTTCCAACATCTAACCAAGATAAATGTAAAATACAAGTAATGGGGGAACAGGTCTGAGTAAAGTTCTCTAGGCAGCCAGAAAGCAGTCTGAGAATTTGGTGGGGGAGGAACAAGGAAGGAAAAGAAAAATCCACTCTATCCCTGTTCTGCCCACCTTATCCCACAATCTCTACATGGAACCCATGGCTAGCTGCTTTCATCTCCAACCACATCTCTATGCATAAAAACAATCTGAATTTCTATGAATCTCCTGAGTGTCTACCAGTGCCAAAAGAGGTGCCATGGTGGGACACACAGAGGCAGAACAAAACGTGAGTGCACCTCTAGCAACAAGTCATCACTGGCAAAGAAGGGAGAAAAATTAAGGAGGGTTTGTGATGATCTAGCAGCTACCATAAAGAAGCACCTATTATACTTTGAAATAAGTCTCCCAAAATGCAGCTTCCTGGTGTCTTTTGGGCAATGTATTCCCACTGTACAAGCTAAACCCTTTCTAAGAGACAGCAAGCTCCACTGTTCTCTCCCTATTTGGTTTCCCACATCCTTCTCAACACTCTTTTCACTATACCTCCTCTTTCAAATGCTCATTTATTCCTAAGCCCTTCAGTCAGTAATCAAAGAAACTAACTCAATTATTCAAAAAATATTTACTGGAAATATCCCACAAGCACAGCACTATTTATTAGTAATTTTCAATATTATTATCCCTGGGATTATTTGCATTTTAAAAGAATGAATTTCTAATTCTAATGGTAGAATTTAGAGCACCACTTCAGAGAAATATTTTGGAACCAAAGAGACACTGGTATTCTTTAAATCTTACTATATATAAGCAACCTTTATGATACCTATCTGAAATGTTCATCCTTATAGAACACAGGAGCAAGTAGGTCTGGACAAACAGGAAAAGTTAAATATAGAAGACGTTAGTGACTTTTTCTTTCTTTTTGGGCAAACACTTAGTTATTTTAACCTGTTAGGTCACCATAAAATATATTCCTTTCTTTGAGCTTTAATGACCACTGTGTTTTAAAATTTTCTTATTAGAGTTTGAAGTGTTTGCCTAAGACTAGCTTTGTGGCCTCAGGCAAAGCAGACCAGGCTAAGATTCAGTTTCATCTATGGAATGGAGATAATGCTACGTCATTATATGGATGGGAAATATACGGGGGAAAAGAGGGGAATAAAACATAGATGTAATGAAGAAAAAGGTGGGATCCCCACACTTTGCTATGGAAAATAGAGATAACTCTCCCCAAGAGGAGGTCTATGTCTGTCTTACTTTCCTTTGCACCCCAGAACCTACCAGACTAGTGGGCACATAGTTGACAATGAGTATTTATTGAATTGAATTGAATTTGTTCACATTAACCTAGGCCTTCCTTGACTAGAACAGCATCCTGCCAGATCAAGTTAGGTTCTGTATGGATCACATATATGTGAAAATACTTTGAGAATGTTATAGCCTAAACAAACATAAAGTTCTTATTAAATGAACTGCTCTTTTAGAAAGCTTCCACATTTTCTCAACTTCCACACTTACCCTGATACATCACAGGAATAGTGCCAGTAAAATTCAGCAGGTCTTTCTGGGAACTATCTTTAAAAACTGAAAGGAGAAAAAAGTCCCAAAACATGCAATTAGAAGTAGAAAGAATTGTAGTAACGTATATAAGTGTGCACATGTGTGCACAATACACATATGTACACACACATAATCTCTAAATAACATAATCTAGAAATCAGTAAATCTGTCAACAAGGGGAAATTACTAGCTGCTGTTTACTTAAAAAGCAGTGAGGGTAGTTGGAAGAACACAGGACTTGGACACTGAAATCCCAAGTTCTAGGCCCACCTTCCCCACTTAAAGGCATGTGACTTTTTGGTTACCTTAATCTCTTTAATATTCAATTTCATCATCTATAAAATATAGTAAGACTGCTTTACAAAGTTATCATAAATATAAAATGAGATAATGTGAAAATTCTTAATAAAATGCTGGACGCCTGTAATCCTAGAACTCTGGGAGGCTGAGGTAGGCAGATCATTTGAGCTTAGGAGTTCGAGACCAGCCTGAGCAAGAGCAAGACTCTGTCTCTACTAAAAGACAGAAAAAATTAGCTGGGCATGGTAGCCCATGCCTGTAGTCCCAGCTACTCGGGAGGCTGAGGCAGGAGGATTGCTTGAGCCCAGGAGTTTGAGGTTGCTGTGAGCTAGGCTGATGCCATGGCACTCTAGCCTGGGCAACAAAGTGAGACTCTATCTTAAAAAAACAAAACAAAAAAAATTTGTTATTAATAATTTGGAATTAACCATCTATGCAGTAAGCAGAATAAAGGTCCTCCAAAGATGCACATACCCTAATCCTTGGAACCTGTGAATATGTCACCTTACTTGTCAAAGAGACTTTTTAGATGTGATTAAATTAAGGACTATGAGATGGGTAAATTATCCTAAATTGTTGTGGTGTGTCTGATCTAATTATATTGGTTCTTAAAAGCAGAGAACCTTTCCTACCTGTAGTCAGAGGGCTCTCTAACAATATAAGAATCTTAGAGATATGCAAAATTGCTGGTTTTAAAGACAGAGAAGGACCAAGAGCCAAGGAATGTGGATAAACTCTAGAAACTGGAAGAGGCAAGGAAACAGATTATTCCCTAGAGCCTCCAGAAACAAAGACCTGTTGGCATCTTGATTTCACCCAGGTCAAATTTCTACACTTGATCTTAGCCAAAAGGCCAAGAAGTGATTAGCCAAGTTAAATTTCCAGTTAAACTTCTAAGCTATAGAAATTTGTGTTAGACTTCTAGTCTACAAAACTGTAACATGGTAAATTTTTTTTAAGCCACTAAGTTTGTGGCAATTTGTTACACAGCAATAGAAAACTAATACAATCTATATTGTATTAACTTAAATTTCCCCAGAAATCACAGGTCACAAAGTATAGCTCAAAATTAGAGGACAAAAGACAGAAATAAGAAATTATGATTTTGCAGCTCTCTAGGACCAACTAATTAATAGTTCAAATAATGCAGCAAAAACTAGAAGATATGATTCTTACCATAGGTGTCCATGGAATATCTAAAATGTGGGAAAAATACATTTACATTCTTTAGTTCTTCCACAGTTAGATCCCTGAACTTGTACTGAAAAGAGAAAAATGAGCATGGAGTAAGAATAAAGTTATGAGCAACAGATAACAACTGAACATTTATTAAGTGCTAGGCCCTGGGCTCTGAGTTTTACAAACATAAATAGAATATTTGATTTAATCTTTTGAACAATCCTATGAGGCAGGGAGGGCTTACAACTGCTCTACTTTGCAGAAGAAAACAAAAGCTAGAGAATCAAAGTAACTTGCTCAGTCAGTTAGCAAGTTAAATAGCAAAGCAACAGCCCAAACCCAGGACCTAGACCTTTAATCACTAAATCGGACTGCCTGCAAATATCTCCTAAAGGCTTAAGAGATACGGTAGAATGAATAAACCCTCTCACACCATCTTGAATAGCTTATTCACTTGAGACACCTTGACTTTCATCTCCCACCTTCCTGGTACTGCATCCTGGGTATCAAAGGGAAAACAAAAGCATGCCAGGGTTTGCAGTCAGGTTGAGTGAACTGCCACCTCATTTATCTAGATGTCCTCCCAGAAATACTAACTTGGCTGCCTTGTGAGCAAAATCATTTAAATTCTTTGAACTTATTTTCTTATCTGCAAAAAGAAATAATAACCACTTCCTAGACTTGTGGTAAAGACTATATAAAAGGGAAAAAAAAGTGTATTAAGAGTCTATTTTGGGGGATGGACATGCTTGAAGCTCTTACTTGAGGGGGGAGGAGGACATGAGCAATATATGTAATCTTAACACTTATACCCCCATAATATGCTAAAATAAAAAAATAAATTAAAAAAAAAGAGTCTATTATGAGGCCGGGTGTGGTGGCTCACACCTTTAATCCTAGCACTCTGGGAGGCTGAGGTGGGAGGATTGCTTAAGCTCAGGAGTTCGAGACCAGCCTGAGCAAGAGCAAGACCCTATCCCTACTAAAAAAAATAGAAAGAAATTATCTGGACAACTAAAAAAAAAAAAAATATAATATATATATATATATATATAAAATTAGCCGGGCATAGTGGCGCATACCTGTAGTCACAGCTACTCGGGAGGCTGAGGTAGAAGGATTGCTTGAGCCCAGGAGTTTGAGGTTGCTGTGAGCTAAGTTGATGCCACAGCACTGTAGCCCGAGCAAAAGAGTGAGACTTTGTCTCAAAAAAAAAGTCTATTATGAAAATAAAGTTGAGAAAACAATTGCAGTTACAAAAGCATCAAAAAGAATAAAATACATAGAAATAAATTCAATAGGGCACAAAACTTAGACTCTGAAAACTACAAAACATTGTTGAAAGAATAAAACAGACATAAAGCCAATCTAGTGAGGGAAAATGGTGTTGAGCATGTCTTAATTTCCTTTTCCATGATTACTAATGGATTGAATAAGCTTATTTTTTAAATGCTTATTCATGTATTTTGCCCAATTTTCCATTTATTGGTTTTAATATTGATTTGTAGGCATGCTTTATACATTTTGGATATCAATACTTTGTCAGTTATGTGTGTTACAGAGACACTAAGTCTGTATCTTGCCTCTCCACTCTTATCATGGTGTCTCTTGAAATATAAAAGTTCTTAATTTTAATGTAGTTGAGTTTAGTGGTCTCTTCTTTGTGGCTTGTTTAAAAATGTTTACATATTCTGAGTCCATAACATTTATCTCCATAAGTTTTAAAGTTGCCTTTTGCATTTAGGTCTGTAATCAACTGGGAATTTTTGTTTGGTATAAGGTAGAGATACAATTTCATTGTTTTCCCATATGGATAATCATCTGTCTCTGTATTCTCCTTTCCACAGTCGTTTGCAATACTTCTTCTGTTTTATATTGTGTTTCCAAATATGTATGTATATGGCTCTAAGCCCTTTGGTTAGAATCATTGGTTAATTTGTCTATCCTATACCAGTATCACACTAAACCTCAATTACTATAGTGTTGACATTTTTTTCTTTTTGGAGACAGGATCTCCCTGTGTTGCCCAGGCTGGTCTCAAACTCCTGGGCTCAAGAACTTTTCCCCCTTCAGCCTCCTAAATACAGTCCTATACTGTAAATAATTGATGTCGATATTTAGCTATTTCCTCTTGTACTGATAAGAATAGCCAGAAAGATTCCTCTAATCTCTTTCCTAGAGGGTAAAAGCATGGTGCTATGGACTAAATATTTGTGTGCCCCCTCCCAAATTCATAGGTTAAAACCCTAACCCCTAATGTGATGGTATTTGGAATGGTGCGAGTTGCCTCACCTGGCTAGCATTGACACTTGGTAAAGCAAGTTCCCACATCTATTCTTTTTTTTTTTTTTCCCCACATCTATTCTTTTTCTGTAATAATGTCAAGATTATTCTTGGTCTTCTGCCCTTCTAAATGAATTTTACAACCAGTTTGAAAAGTTCCCCCAAAAACCTGTTAGAATTTTGACTGGAATTGCATTGACCCTATAGATCAATCTGGGAGAACAGACATCTTCACACCCATGAGGTTGAGATATCTATTTATTTAGGTTTTGTTTTCAGTAATATTTTTCACTTTCTCCATATAGTTGCTTGAGTCTTCAATGTCCTATTCACTTCTCCTTGGAGTTTTCTGCACTACAATTATTTCTAGAAGTTAAGCTAGTATATTATTTCTCTAGTACAAGAGCTAAGGACCTCAGAAATATTTTCTGGACTTGTTTCTGGTTGGTTTTAATTTATACATCCAGCAAATACTTACTAAGCACCTCTGTGCCAGACTCTATGCTATGCACTGATAGTGAAAAAAACATTCCTCTACTATTCTATTCTCACTCTTGAGAAAACTCCTTGTCTTGCTTCTTTTTCCTTCATCCCACTTCCACCAAAGTTATGTTGTAGTCCTTTTTCTACTAGCGACTTTAGCAATTTTTCTCATCGGATAATCCATCATCCTCCCCACATTAAAACTTGATAGAATGGTTCCTTTAATTTCATATTCTCTGACGAGGAGACAGAAAGGGTAGTAATCCTAAACATAATGATACTTCTCTTCATACAAGATCTACACCTGTCACAGTAGATAAAATCATTCAAGTCAATTACATAAACAACTTCAAGCTTGGGGCGTCAAAACCTCCCACAGGTGTGCAAGCTGTCCCAACAAAGATAGACACAAGCAAGTCCAATAAAAATGGCAGAAAGTATGGTTTACGCATGAAGTCTTACGAAATAGTTAAGAGTCGCTTAACTAAAAAGTCTTACTAAATAGTAAGAGTCGCTTAACTGGTGGAAAAGAGGATCTCCTCAGACCGTACACTGGTGGAGAATCCCCTTCTGACCCGGAAACCCGCACTAGTCAGGCCTCAGAAATGTAGGTCAGATTTCTGGGTCAGCCCTCCCACTCCTCAACCTTTCAACATTAAGAGGATCTCTCCTGGGCCTTCAAACTGCCTTCACTCCTAAACCCACTCAGGTCTTTCATTCACTGTACAAGTTATTTAGCACCTACGTTGTTATCAAGCATAGTGCTAGGAAGGTGCAGGAATATAAAAGCAGTGTCTGCAGTCAAAAGGGTTCACAGCAAGAGTGAAGTCTGTGAATAAATAATTACAGTATGATAACTGGTATTTCTGAAAACATAATGGAGTGATTCAATCTTCCAGGGAGTGACTGAGTTGGGTCTAACACAGGACGAGCTCCGCAATTCAAGAGAAAAAAAGGAGGGAGGGAGGGAGGAGGCCATTTCAGCAGAGAAAAAGGCGTGGTTACACGGACAGCCTAAGCTGGGAGTTGTCTGAGGTCAGTGAAGCTGGTGGTGTGAGTACTCACACAGGGTGGAGGCTGGGGGACCTCGGAGTTGCAGGCGGAGCTAGAACCCAGGACCTCCACAAGTAGGACGTGGCCTGGGACCCCCGCGGCTTCCTGGGGACCGGTGGTCACAGCCGGCTTCGTATCAGCCCGGCCCCGCTCCAAGCCCCAAGACAAGCCCCGGTAAACGCAAAAAGCAGGAGCCCGGCCAGGAGCGGAGACACCCCCCTCAGACCCCACGGCTCCAGACGCCGCCCGAGCTGGCTGCCCGTACCTTGCCAAGCAGCCGCCTCAGACTCTCGCAGTCGAACTCCATCTCCAACCAGGTCCCACGACCCCAGCCACTGGACCTTCTTCCGGACCCGCTGCAGAATGGAAGCCGCCGAGGACCAAACTTCCTAGCGCTCCAAGGCCCCGCCCTCTCCCGGACTCGAGATTCGGCCCCAGGCTCTGCCGCAGCTCCTGCGGGGTCAGGCGGCCCCTGCAGCGCGAACCTGGAGCGGGCGCTGCGGGACCCCGCTTGCTGGAAGAAAGCTTGGGGACATCTGTGAAGAGAACAGGAAAGACCGGAGTAGAAGCTGTAAAGGAGGTAGAAGCAACACGCGGTATTCTTGAAGAGAGTTGCTGGATGTGTTAAATTCAGCGAAGTATTAGAAAAGATCAACACCGAAAATTGTAGTTGGATTTAGGAGGAAGGAGGTAATGGAACTTCAAAAGCAACATTTCAGGGAGTAGAAAGGGAAGACTAGTCAGGAGGAGCCTCATCAGAGAATAGGACAGCCGCATCTGGGTGGCGCGGCACGGGGGGAGGAGTTGCACTTTTTTTTCTTATTTTTTCCCAACCATGTTGGTGGTTGACAGAGGAAAAAGTAGGGCGAAAAACAAGAGTTGGAAACGAGAGGAGAGAGACTGATGGATAAGGTCATCTGGAGAAGGAAGGCGGAGAAGAGATGGAGGATACAGTAATTTTCTGGTGGTGTTTGGTCTCCTCGACTTGTGAGTTACTTACTCTGTATCCCTGGTTTGAGCACAGAAGCTGAAAAGTCGCAGGAGCTGGATATTGTAATTGCCAAGAGGTTGGGCAGCCAGGAGGGTGATTGTATTTACAGGAAAATCCAAAGGCAGGGCTGCTGTGACACAGTTGAAGAAAGGGAAAGGCTGGAAGGAGCGTTTATTCATTCACAAGAGTTTTGTTGAGCATCTACAGTTTGCTAGCTGTTAATCTAGGTCTTAGGATACGGCAGTGAATAAAATAGACAAAATTAGCTGCTGTCTTAAGGTTTTCATTCTTTTATTAGTAGAGAGATCAAAACAATGTAATAAATAAGTAAATTATACAGCACGTTAGAAGGACATTGGGACAGTGCAATAAAAGACTATTAGAAAGAACCTATTACAAGATTTGGGCAATTTGGGGGAGGGCTTACAGAAGCCAGGCTTCAGTTTGGATTGGGTGTTGTCATAGAGCAGGATGTTTTTCTGTGATGGGGCATCTCAATAAGTATAAGCTAGAGGATGGACAAACTCGAGTGAGGATAAAGCTATAATTGGTAGAGAAGCAGCAGTCACTCATAATAGCAGAGAAAGATGTTTAGTATTTCATGGCTTGTACGGTGACCTTATTCTTATCTCTGCTCAGATGAAGTTGTGAAGTGGCCTTGTTACATCTCACCTTTTTATAGTCTGAGTCACCTTGTCTGATGTTGGTGTTCTATGAGATTGTTTGCATCCAACAGAAGAATAACCTGGCCTAGCTGTGAGAATCAGGCCAGCCTCTAATAACACTGAGGCCTTGCTGTGTCAGACCAGTTCCCAGATATCAGAGCCTGCCTTTCTCTTTCTCAGGCTTTTACTCTGAGAGAAAGAAGAAGCCACTGGGAGGTTTCAAACAGAAGAGTAATGTGATCTGACTGAGTTTTAATAGAACAACTCTGTTGCATTGTGAGGAGACAGGAGTGTGGGGGCAAGAGTGGAAGCTGGAAGACAAAGTCAGAGAAGGATTATGGGGAGAAGCTGAAGGATAAGGGGCCTGTGTAGTGTGCCTCAGCCAGATCTAACAAACCTTAGAAACAGTAGAACTTCCAGGGGCTGCAAGGTCCGACAGATCCTGCCAGAAATCTATTAAACGAGGAAAAGATATCAGGTTAGCAGCAAGGTTCTTCAATCTTTTATGAAAGAGCATCTTATGGAAGAGGACTTACAACCAAACCGCCAATTCTCTTCTGGTCTAGTCACTGTGAACACTTTATGCCAGAGCATGCCTGTGTGTTTAGCATTTCCTGTGTGGAAGGTTCATTGCCAAGAGTTTTATGAGCTTTATTTCCGTTAATCTTCACAAAACCCTATGACCTGGGTAGAATTATTATCTCCATTTTACTGAAGAGGAAACTGAGGTTTAGTGTTGCATTACCTATTTCTTTGTTCCTGAGATTCTTTATGGATTAGAGATGTGTTAATGACAGGTTTTTGGAGGGCGAAGAAGACTACAAAATTAAACATACTTACTGATTTTAACACTATACCTATTTCAGAACAGCCTAAATGTGAAAAAGTGTGCACCTCAAAATAGAGGCTGAGTGGTATATAATTGGTTCCATTTTACAGGTAGGGAAGCCAAAGCTGCATGCAGAAAGGTTAAAGTATTGCAGAAGGTAACGTCAAAGACCATGTTCCTAATCTGTCCATCATACTCCCTCTTGCTGTGTGCGATATTGTGATGGAACTTTGGGATTAGTGATAATCTAGGAAATCTGTGCCTGTTGGTATTTATAAGAGGAAGGCTGTGTAATAAACATAGCCTTCTTTAAGCCTCCCTCCTGACTTCCAGTTCCCTCCTATTCTTACCCCATGAAGCTGGTGGTATTAGATCCTATAATCTAACCAGGCTGAAACATTCACTCTTCCCCAAGCACATTGTGTTCTTCCTCGATTCATACCTGAGTGCTTGCCTGGGGTATTTTGTTGTACTGGTATACCGGACTGTATTCATCTCCAGCCCTCTTTCTGCCCCCAAAGACTGAGGCCTAGGTGGACAGAGGTTGAATTTCATTCATCTCTGTAGTTCCTGTGCTTGAATTTATGCATGTATTAGTTCTATTAATATTTATTAAACCAGATATAAAGAGGGGTTCAGGCCGGGTACGGTGGCTCACGCCTGTAATCCTAGCACTCTGGGAGGCCGAGGCTGGCGGATTGCTCGAGGTCAGGAGTTCGAAACCAGCCTGAGCAAGAGTGAGACCCCATCTCTACTATAAATATAGAAAGAAATTAATTGGCCAACTAATATATATAGAAAAAAATTAGCCGGGCATGGTGGCACATGCCTGTAGTCCCAGCTACTTGGGAGGCTGAGGCAGGAGGATCACTTGAGCCCAGGAGTTTGAGGTTGCTGTGAGCTAGGCTGACGCCACGGCACTCACTGTAGCCTGGGCAACAAAGTGAGACTCTGTCTCAAAAAAAAAAGGTGGGGGGTTTCAATAGAAAGTTTGTAGAATGAATTCAAAAGGTGGCCAAAGCCTTAGGGAGAAGATGTAGTGTACTAGTTTTCAGCCTTATCTGGGTTTCAGACTTTTAAAAAAATCTATTGAAAGATATATACCTGCCCCAAGAAAATGTACATGCCCACATATACAGTATGTTTTGTGTCCAATTTCAGGAATGTTTGTGGATTTTACTGAAGTCCACTGGAACCCAGCTCAAGAAATTCAAGTGTAGTTGGTGGGAGTATAATTTGCTACAACCTTTGGGCAAAGTAATCTGATATACCTTTGACTCTATAATGCCACTTTTGAAAATTTGTCTTACAGAAATAAAAGTACCCAGGCCGGGCGAGGTGGCTCACACCTGTAATACTAGCACTCTGGGAGGCCGAGGCAGGCGGATTGCTCGAGGTCAGGAGTTCGAAGCCAGCCTGAGCCACAGTGAGACCCCATCTCTACTAAATAGAAAAATTAGCCAGGTGTGGTGGTGCACACCTGTAGTTCCAACTACTTGGGAGGCCAAGGCAGAATAATCACTTGAGCTCAGGAGTTTGAAGTTGCTGTGAGCTAGGCTGACGCCACGGCACTCACTCTAGCCTGTGCAACAAAGCGAGACTCTGTCTCAAAAAAAAAAGAAATAAAAGTACCCAGGATATATGTATAAATATGTTAATTTTGTTAAAAGGAGAAAAAATGACCCAAACTGAGAAATGCGAAAGTATATGTTCTGAATCTCTACAGCTTTAGAAAAACCACAAGAATGGCTTGTTTAACATTAGAACTTGTTTCTGGCTGGGTACAGTGGCTCACCCCTGTAATCCTAGCATTCTAGGAGGCTGAGGTGGAGGATTGCGTAAGGTTAGGAGTTTGAGACCAGCCTTCCACATAGGAAATGAGCAATAACAAGACCCCATCTCTACTAAAAACAGAAAAAATTAGCCAGGTGTGGTGGTGCACACCTGTAGTTCCAACTACTTGGGAGGCCAAGGCAGAATAATCACTTGAGCTCAGGAGTTTGAAGTTGCAGTGAACTGTGATGATGCCACTGCACTCTAGCCAGGACCACAGAGTGAGACTCTATCTAAAAAAAAAAACCCACCAAAAGAACAAACAAAAAAACTCCTGTTTCTTAGTGCTCTGCTTCTAATCTGTTTATACCCTTTGTTGCTTTCATAATTATTAGCCCCATCAGACATATTGTTAGGGGATGAAACCTTTTTATTCCAAATATCACGCACAGTCCTTAACAAAATACTAACAAACTGAATTCAACAGCACATTTAAAAAATTATTCATCATGATTAAGTGGGATTCATTCTAGGGATGCAAGAATGCTTCAACACATACAAATCAATCAATGTAATATATCATATCAACTGAACAGAAGACAAAAACCATATGATCATTTTAGTTGATACCGAAAAAGCATTCAATAAAATTCAACATCCCTTCATGATTAAAAACTCAAAAAACTAGGTATGGAAGGAACTTACCTCAACACCAAATATCAGACATAGGTTTATTCTTATATACTTCTTGGATGTGTGGAACTTACTATTGTTTATTAACAACATAGTCTGCATCTGAGGCCATTCTTCCACAAACGTTCTTTGTAACAGCCTACATAGCCATGCTTTTATGACCTTGTGAAATGAAACTGCAATCTTTTTTACTTTCCTAACCTAATTCTTTTTATAAGGATTTTATATAGTCTTTCCATTTTCATGGTCTGTCTATGAACCAACATACTCTTGTTATCTTGCTGCTTCTCAAAAAGTAAAAAATTAGTCATGCTTAAGAGAAATTTGTCAATGAAATTTTGTTTTTAACAATAACAGCATTAAGTATCAGTGTTCCCTCTGTGGACTGGTTCCACACTGGTGTCACCGAAAGTTTGC